TATGGCCAAAAATTTAAGCTTCAAGCTAACTTGCATCTTCTTCTCATATTGTTATTCAATAACTTAGCATAATTATTAATAATGAGGTACAAAGATTGAACAAATTACTTACCTATTAGCGAATGTGATAATAATACTCTGCGTTGTTTGTCTGGCATTGTATAAAAATTCTTTGTGGTCACTAAGTTGGTAATACCAGTCGTGAATATAATCTCTAAAAGCTAGCTCCAACACCTAAAACATGATCAATATAAAGCAATACAGTTTCATGTTACTTTCATTTATAAATCAATTTTAATGTAATTTTTTATTCATGTACGGTCTATATTTTTTATATATATTTTATCCTCATTTTTAACTTGAACTTGGAAATATACAATAAAATTTCTTCTGAACAAAGTTATCTGGTTAAAAATTTTTATTGGCCTACTGTAAACAAAATTTGGTTTTCTAAATTTGCAAGTGGGAAATTGACTACTGAATATTTCTTCTACTGCTAATATTATGTCAATGTCCATTGTAATATTAGTATTACTGATATTAATAATTTAAATGGAAGGCACTTTGTTTGGTGTGAAATATTAAGAATAACCTAAGAAAACCAAATGATGTATTTCAATAGGAGTCCTTCAGGTGGTGAAGTTGGGAAACCCCATGCACGAAGCGCTGACTTTAAAAGCATCCAGTGTCGCCAGTTTTGAACAGACGTGTATGAAATTTTGTACACATAAAACTAGAAGTGATTTCCAACAAACGTTCATCGTCCTTTTTTGCAGTTTGTCCCCAAGGTCCCACATATACAAAACTAAACAGGTGTTTCAAACTTAAACAGCGTCCAGCATCGCCAGTTTTGAACAGATGTGCATGGAATTTTGTACACATAAACTAGAGGTGAATTCCAACCAACGTTCATCGCCCTTTTTTTTAAGTTGGACCCCAGGGTTCCCCCTACACCTACAAAATAAACAGGGGTTTCAAACTTTAAAAGCGTCTAGCGTCGCCAGTTTTGAACAGACGTGCAGGTAATTTTGTACACATAAACTAGAGGTCATTCCCAACAAACGTTCATCACCCTTTTTTTAAGTTAGACTCCAGGATTCCCCCTACACATACAAAACAAAACAGGGGTTTCAGCAAGGACTGTACATTACTGCCATTTTAACACTACCGTAATAGTGCATGTCACATGAATGGCGCGGTCAGTAAAGAAAAGTGTTCTAAAGAACTTAAGGTTGTGAGTTTGAATCGTGTATTTAGCAAGTTTGAATCACATATTTTTTTTTTTTTAATTTGACATCATGTCCATTGAAGTGTGTCCGCTGTACTCCGATTGTCTAGTAGAAGTACGCCCTCAAGTAAGATATTAGCAGTATTTGTTTCTAAAAGTAGTAGCACAAATATAACTCCCACCCTCTACGAGAGAACAGTGTTTTGTGGACAACTGTGCATGTACTACAGGGTAACTTAAAAAAAAACAAAAACAGCCAGATGCAGCAGGTGTCCTCTAATAACTGGATAAAAGGAGGCATTGTCTGTCAATAAATAATGATACTGTGCACCCTTCCCTTTCTATACTCTTTGATAACCTACCTCTTGTAACTGCTCATCAATTATATTTGATCCTGTCAAGCGTTTGTCACACTTATAATCTTGATCGGATTTACTAACCATTTCAACAACCTAGAAAAAAGAAATAATACAGTAATGCACATACTTGTTAAACTGCCCTATAACTTGTGTGCTTTAATTGTAAAGCATAAACTAAATTGCATTTTCAGTGAAGCTCATAGGTAGGTGAGCATGCATGAATGTCACTGTACAGTACTTTATTTTAGTCTTTTTACCTGATATATTTGTACACTATGTTAAGCGCCTCAAGTTTGCTAACATTTATTAGTAGGTGCTATACAAACTTTTTATTATTATTATTATTCTGCTTATCTTAAACTGTAGGCCTACTGTAACCACCAATAAATAAATACAATATTATTGTGATATATAATCAATAGAGTTTATGCTTCTACTATCGAATTTTCAAAATTTTATTTTCATACAACCATTGGTGTTAAGCAGATTACAACAAATCACATACAATATTTGAATTGGCAAAAGCAACACATCTGTGAATTGCTTCTTAAAACAACATTGCCTACAGTAAAACTGTATTATGACAACAACAACATGAAGATTGCCACACAGGACCTCAAAACATAAATTGAATTTAGCGATGTAAAGACTAATGAAGCAGAGATAATAAATGCATTCCAGTGATACTACACACGACACAGCGCAGTAATTAGACTCTAGTGGTAGCAGCATGCAATGCTCAATGCAGTATCTTATGTTAATATTGTGTGTAGATAGAGAGATTTATGTAAATAATTTATTTATTTATTGTCATTTTTATTGTCTCCCCTTTTATTATTTAAATCATACAGTTGAGCTGATAGCTTTGTAGTTACTGTAACATGCTTGCCTTCAAATCCCGAAGTCTTTCTATGCTGTAGCTTCAAGTCATGAGACAGCAGGATTTTCTCATTTATGATTAAAAATACACATTTACTCCCTAGGCCTCATAAACAATTTTATAGATTAACATTTGTACCTTGACCTCAAAATTTGGAGCCCAACAGCAATAACAGTTTCCATATGTTGCTAAACATTAGATGAGGATCACAAATATAATTAGTATAGAAAAAAAATAATGTACTCATTATTATTAGGATGCTTTTCCACTCAAAATATGTCTGATTTTCATTATTTGATTGCAATAAATTATTTTCGAGCACAATCAAAATATACTGTATAGCAGGAGTACATGATACAAAAAATTGATATAAGCATGGTAGAAATTTAGAAATGAGGAAAATGTGCAAACTATGTCACAAAAACATAACAATATAAAATTATCTGGATTGGATAGATACTTCACCTAATTCGTCCAAAAATATTGTCAATATACTGTATGTTTGATCTAATGAACCATTCAGGTACCTTGGAGTTATCTAAATGTTTTCTGAGTCGGTTCATCCTTTAATCGAGTCAATCATAATGAAATTTTGATTGGGAACGATGCTAACCAATACAAAAGGCATCAACCCATGTTTTCAAAAGATACAGCAACTTCAGCAGTAAACTCTTCAGGACTATAATACTGTATAAATCATTGAGGAATATATGTATGAAAATTGCTTCAAAAACTGATTTGGTGAAAGAGAAATACAGTAAAAATTTCCAGGCCCTGATGATGAGGCTTTATTGATCAGAACCATGCAACGACCAATTAGCAAACAGAATTACATACAGCCAATGATAATAGCTGTGCTGATTACAAACCAGTATAGATTCCCGGCCTACATAATCAATTGGCCTAGAAAGCGGCAGACAAAAAACTCTCATAATATTATCTTTAAAGTTTGTAGCTCTCTCAAGCATTCATGTCAAATAGTATTTCTATGTTCATTATACAAAGCAATGTATATAAATGTATGAAGCTACATGGTAGAACATACATTGAGACAACCGTATAATGCTCCTTGTAAATCTATTGATTGATTGATAGAGTGATTGACCATTGTAAATCATATGGATATATTTTGAAATTCTCTACAGGAATCTTCATTAAATCACTGACAATAATCAATTCACATACTAAAATACTACCAATCCATCAATTAAGCAGAAAGTTATTAAATTTTGTTTCCTATACTTGTAATAAATTTGCTTGCTTACATACCGTAGTAGTATAAATCGATACTAAAATATCAGCGACAATAATAAAAAAAAAACACTAATTAGCAGCGATTTAACCTTATGCTAAAACAAGTACACCAAAGTGCTAAATTAATTTGTAAAACTGGTTTTAATTCTGTGAGTGGAACTTACTGTATGTTTTGTTGACTCACAATGTTAAAACAATACTAGATGACTAATATCAAAGACTACAGAATGGAGAGAGGTCTGACTCTCTCCATTTTCTCTCAAGTGCGCAATGAAATAAAAAAGAGTACTACAACGATTTAGCAGGCGCTCTACATATAATTCAAATAGAGTTCTAAAAACACACAGCAAGGAGTCCGATACAAATGACTTATATGTGTACATCATCTCCTGTAAAGTCATTCAGTACTTTTTGAGATAGGATTACAATACAAAGAAAACCTGAGAATCGGACCTCTTTCCATTTTAGACTCAAATATAGACGCATTACTAAATTGAAAATCTGAATTGAAATGAAACACTATTAAAGGTCTAAATCTGCACACATCACAAAATAATGAGAGGGACTACTATGTACATGTACAAATATCAAGAAATATGAAGCTATTATGAACAACTGTAAATAATTAAGAGGGTATGGAGCTAGAACAATCAGATTTTTTCATACTGGTGGTAAGCTCAAGTTGATAAGCTTATTTTTTTTGACATAAGTAATTAATCTCACCTGAAGAATACCAGATAATCCAATCTGTAATTGTGTAACTGGTGTAATACGATGTAACACGGCTTCCGACTCTTTCACTGCATGTAGCTTGTAAACAACTAAAAATGCTCTAAATGTTCAGAGGAAAAAAGAACAAATATTATTAGTATTTTTATTTATTTTTTTTATGACAATTAAGTTAAAATGTTAGTGGTATTTACTGGGATCTACATCAAATATTGTTTTTGGACAAAACAGTAATAGTTATCATCTAAATATATTTAATCTAAGTTTGTTTATTATGTAACAGACTATCAATGTTCCTGGAGTATGTCAAACAATATTATTAAAAAGCAATGAATAAATCAACATAAAAGTAACATTTATTCTTCTGGTCTTGTTCTTTTCTGTCGATTTGTGGAACATGTTGAAATGAATATAATATATGCTATACAAGTGTACAGCCATTGACCATTGACCACAATTAATTAGCAGCTTAATTATTCATTTTACTAAGTCCACTATTCGTCAATATTTTAACAACTTTGTTCTATATTATTTTAATATGATGAAAAATTATAACTATATTGAAATTGCAGAGCAGTAGAAAAAAAAGAAATACTGATCACATTCATTGTGAGTAGAGAACAGTCTTTGTGTACATACAGAACACATCATAAATTATATGTCACTACCTCTCTGTATTGCAAACACACAAATAATAACTCATGCATGTATGAATATTTTCTGTCCCCCATAGTCCCAGGAAACATAATAGAAGAAACAGTTAATAACATTACTGACTAAAATTGGCTTTAAAAACAGAATGTCAATATTAAGGAATGCTAGTAGGGCATTAGCAAAAACTACTAATAATAATTATGATAGTAATTTATAATTTTATTTGAATTAACAATGCTAGTTTGACTGTATGATATTGTTACTGACTACTGTAATGACTACAGCATTACAATACTGTTTTAAATTGACTTAGGTTACATGAGGTGTAACTTAAGTTACACACAAATCGACATCAGTCATAAATGGTATTTAAAGACATAAACTTTACACATTAACAAGTTCAGTGAGATTTTTAAAGGGAGAAAACTATGTTCACAGAATTTATTATATTTGGTATATGTATTTTATACATTGTTGATTATTGTTCACTCCTACTATGTATTACTAATTTACAGTGGCGTAGCCAGAATATTTCTGTGGGGGGGGGGGCAGTGTGGGTCCGTGATATTATGTGGGTGGGACAAGTGTTCTGATTGAAGCGAGGAACCAAATGTCGGTGCCAGGGGCCCTAAATTTAAAATATGGCTATATAAATGGCTATCTTATGTGACCTCAGCCCGTTTGCTCTCAAATAATAATGTATAAATCAAGTGAAACGTTTTAAACCATGATGAAACTATTGTGTTTAGTGGGAAGGGGGGACAGGCCAAAATCTGGGGGCCCTGGCCCCCCTCCCTTGGCTACGCCACTGCTAATTTACGATAATAAAATTTGTATCTCTGTTTTTAAGCTCTGTATTGGCAGTGTAGAAGAATTTCTGTTTATTCAGACACTAAAATTAAGTTGTTATTATAATACGGTATTGTTCTTAATATGACTTCAATAATAAAAAAGTGAAATCTAAAGTCTAAATGCACTGCAACACTAACCTTGTCTATTAATTGTAATTTTGATTGTAATTTTAACCCAAAATAAATTTGAATTTGAATTTTGAATTTGAACCTCATGCAACAATACAGCTAATTTGAGTTACAAATGGCAAAATAACACACTTATAAAGACTGTGATAAACACTATGCATCAAAACAATTTATTTTCAGTATATAGGATATATATTCACAAAATACAGTTAATAATTATCTTGAAACCACTTACCCTCCACAAAATGCTGCAATATATGCCAGGAGCAGAATGGGTGCTGTGAGACCGAAGGAGAGGAGAAAGAGAACAAAAGCCAAAGAAGCCCACATCATCCAAGTATGCTGCCCCTGCAAATATAATACACACTTTTACCAGGAAATGCACTGACAAAGGCAGGATGAATGACACATTATTACCACCTCAACTATAACATAATTTAATTACGAATACCGGTACTAAAACCTAATTTACACAAGAAAAAAATGTTACGCAAAATTATGTAACATTTATAACGCATCCAATGTAACATTGTGTCTCATGTGGGTCTGGTATAAGAATAGGTGACGGCGTTTACTGTTTTTGTTCTTAACTGGTGTAGACTTCAAAACCCATGTGCCTACAGTACTTTCAACTAAAGCATGATTACCTTGTTGATCTCCGTGGCTGTTTTTGGAAAAAATCTCGCAATTCTCGGGAGATGTGGGAACCTGCATCCCATTCTGACATAGGAAAACACTGGCATACAAACACACCATTCTGGGACATAAACATCAATATACCCTCATACACATCCCTGACATTGCAAACAGCTAAAACCAAATTTAAGGCATGTTACTGCATACCCTGTACACACTTAGTTAATTGATCGTTATGCAAAGAATTGTTGCTATTAATCAGAATTATAAACTAATCATTAAAAAACTACTGAAAATTAATCAAAAGGAAAAATGACGACAAAAAAAAGCAAATTTTTTATTACTTTTATTTCTAATTCTAAAAATAAGAAATGTTGTACAGTGTATACAAATATACATGGCAGTAGTTGCTTGGTATAAATAATAATTTATTAGTTTTATTATTGTTAACCTGTTCAACAGATTTGCATAACACCATCAACATCCACATAGTTCCTGACACCAAACTACACTGTATACTAAGTAAAAGGAAATACTGTAGCAAGCTGACCTACAGGTGACCTTTACAATCACATGACTAGCAAGGTATTAATAGGTAGAGTAAGTGTATTAGCTACAGCATAGCTTATATTGTAACATTAAGTACTTTGCATACAATACATATAATTATAATCTTGAAATACTGCACCACATAGAGTACACTCAAGTTTATAATTTGCTTATAAACCTCAAAAATTATCTTTAAACAAATATAAATATAAAATAATCAAGTAAAATTCCAAGGTATTAACCTAACAATGATTAATATTAATAATAATAATAATAGTAAACATTGTTTAGCTTCTAAACAACATATTGTAAAACCATTCCACTGGTATAGAATTTGTAGGCCACACATTTTGTGATGGAGTTGTTTGCGCTATAAAAATTGCTAATTATTATTTATTATAAAATCAATATTATTAGTGCTTCATTATAAAAAATACTTGATCTGTAAATCTCTGGGTTCTGAGTCTGAATTATCTAATCAGAATCAGAATATTTTCTCTTGACTAAAAACATTTCAATTTTCTAAGCCTCATTTATTTATTGGAATATCATTCCTGTTATTGTCTAATTTATGAAATAAAAATGTAAATTATAAAGATAAAATACTACATATGACACAATATGTACAACTACTGTAGTTCTGCAGAACCCATTAAAATAATTATTGAAATAGCCAAGGTTTGCATAGCCATTTATGTAATGGAAATAATAAAGTAAAACCTATGAGTCATTACCATAATATATCAATCCTTGAACCTGTACAAATATGAGGTAAAAAAATCCATTTTATTTTTGTCATTTTCTTTCCTACAGTAGTACTGTGCTTTTTATATTAATGTTGTATTGTATCTGGTTGTATTAATTGTATTGTATCTGGTTGTATCAGGGAACAGTGTTCACTGTTGCCTGGTTGTATCAATTGTACTGTATCTGGTTTCCTTTTGCGAATGGTACTGAACCCATATTAGATCAGTTTCTATTCCTATTCTTTATCTATAGAGATTTTTTTGTTAATTTATTTATCAGAATTCAATGTATAATTACAAGCAAACATGTAGGAGCTGGTCGCAGTGACATTTTGCGCAAAGTATTTTCCTTGCGCAACTTGAAAAAAGCTTTCTTCAGACTTGGAAACAATAATCAAACCATGCAAAACATCAACTTCCTTTTATCTTATCATTTAATCTATGTTATTTATTCTGTTGTTTTCAAATACTCTATTCAAATATTATTGCATACCTTTTAATAAACTGTATATTTACATACTTAAATTTATAGGACCTCAATTCTTAGCAGCCTACTTTGCTATGCTATAAAGCATGCATGTTACAGTGATCAACATTGTTTTATTACTTCTTTAATATTGAATTTTGGTACCAGCAAACAGTCTTTTATGGTCAGTGTGTTAGAATTATAATATACTATACTATAAATAGTGGTGGGCTAATTACAGTATACAGAACAGGGCAAAAAATGGGTATTGCTAAACCCTGCAAACCACACTGTAGAGCCCAACCAACCACTTACTTGGTATCTCAAAAAAGCAAAGTCTAGGAGAAGACTTGTTTCCAGTGGGGTCCTTCTTTTGGTAATGGGCAGTACACCGGGAGACAATCCCCTACTAATTTCCGAAGAGTGTACTGCATTCTTTAACATGCGCATGGGCCATAAATGCACAGGGGACCACAGC